TGGCCAGAAAATTACTATAGAGGTCAATGAAATTTCAATAGTGGCCAGAAAATTACTATAGAGGTCAGTGAAATTTCAATAGTGGCCAGAAAATTACTATAGAGGTCAGTGAAATTACTATAGAGGTCAGTGAAATTTCAATAGTGGCCAGAAAATTACTATAGAGGTCAGTGAAATTTCAATAGAGGTCAGAAAATTTCAATAGTGGTCAGAAAATTACTATAGAGGTCAGTGAAATTTCAATAGTGGCCAGAAAATTACTATAGAGGTCAGTGAAATTTCAATAGAGGTCAGTGAAATTTCAATTGTGGCCAGAAAATTACAATAGAGGTCAGAAAGTTATCATAGAGGTCAGTGAAATTTCAATAGAGGTCAGAAAATTACAATACAGGTCAGAAAGTTACCATAGAGATCAGTGAAATTTCAATAGTGGTCAGAAAATTTCAATAGAGGTCAGAAAGTTACCATAGAGGTCAGTGAAATTACCATAAAGGTTAGTAAGATTTCCATAGCGATCAAAAAATTACCATAGAGGTCAGTGAAATTTCAATAGAGGTCAGAAAATTACAATAGAGGTCAGAAAGTTATCATAGAGGTCAGTGAAATTTCAATAGAGGTCAGTGAAGTTTCAATAGTGGCCAGAAAATTACCAGAGGTCAGTGAAATTTCAATAGAGGTCAGTGAAGTTTCAATAGTGGCCAGAAAATTACTATAGGGGTCAGTAAAATTTCAACAGTGGCCAGAAAATTACTATAGAGGTCAGTGAAATTTCAATAGAGGTCAGTGAAATTTCAATAGTGGCCAGAAAATTACAATAGAGGTCAGAAAGTTATCATGGAGGTCAGTGAAATTTCAATAGAGGTCAGTGAAGTTTCAAAAGTGGCCAGAAAATTACTATAGAGGTCAGTGAAATTTCAATAGAGGTCAGTGAAGTTTCAAAAGTGGCCAGAAAATTACTATAGAGGTCAGTAAAATTTCAACAGTGGCCAGAAAATTACTATAGAGGTCACTG